CGCCACGCCGCTGTAGCCCCCTGCGCTGCCCCCAATCCGCCGTGCTGCCCTATCCTGCCGCACTGGCCCCGTCCTGCTGCGCCGACCTGTCTTGCCATGCTGCGGCGCCCTAGCCCGCCGAGCCGGCCCAGTCTCCCCGCGCTGCCCCAGCCCGTTGTGCCGGCCTTGTCTCGCCGTGCCGTCCTAGTTCACCTCGCTGCCCTAGCTCGCTGCACAGGCCCCTGCTAGCCGTCGGCCCCACCTCGCCGCCGGCCCTCCGCTCCCCGACGGCCCCAACTCGCCGTCGGCCTCCACTCGCCGCGCGGCCCCTTTCATGCCGCCGACCTCCGCTTGCCCTGCCGGCCTCCGCTTGCCGTGCCGACCCCAGCTTGTCCCCGACCCCATATCATCGTGCCACCCCAGCTAGACGCTGGCCCGAGTTCACTGCCGCCCCCGCTCGCCGCGCCGCCCCAGCTCAACGTTGGCCCCAACGTGCCGCGCCTCCGTAGCTCGTCGCCGGCCCCGGCTCGCCGCGCCACCCCAGCTCCTCTTGCTAGCCCCTACACACCGTCGGCCTTGGTGCCCCTCTGAGCCGGCACTTCTGACGGATGTCTCCTCCTGCGCGGCTTCACCATGCTCCATCGCACATCACCGTGCTCCACCGCATTCGACCGCACTCCATTGATCCCACCACACCGTACTGCGTCCTTCAGCTGCTGCAGCTGTGCGCGATGGCGAATGCCGTTCTTCGCCTAGATGCGGAGGGTCGGGCGGTTGACTTCAAGGCGTGGCTCGTCGACCTGCGTCGCCAGCTAAAGGGTCAATGCCAGGATGGCCAGTCCCTGACCATCCATGTCGACAGTAAGCTGTCCTGCCCCCCCACGCCTGCTGCCCTCCCTGACGCCCCCGCGCTTACTGAGCGTAAGGCTTTTACTGCTGCAGAGCTTGCCCGCTCGGTCTGGGATTTGCGCGACGCCTTTGTGCAGCTTGCTATTAGTTACGCTCTCCCCCTGTCTGAACGTCCCCGCTTTCAGGCCATAGAGACTATGAAGGAGTACCTTGATGCAATCAAAGCTCGCTATTCCACTCCCTCCTCCGCCTCTATTGGTCGTCTCCTCCTACCCCAGCTCTTCCCTGATCTTGCGTCCGTCCCCACTGTCGCTGATCTTGCCATTCACGTGCGCGCCCTTGAGACTAGCTACGGCACTGTTAGCACTGTACTGCCTCCCCACCTTGGCGCTACCCTTTATTTCCTTGCCACGTGCCTTCCCGACCGCCTAGCCACTGCTCACGACGCCTTCCTTAGTCTCCACCCCACTGACCTTACCCTTACCGACATTGTCCCCAACCTGTCTGCGATAGAGACCCGCCAGTGCACTATCGCTCAGTTAAAAGGAGACAGACTCGTCGAAGGTGATGTCACGGGAGTGAAGGAAGCGGTGAGATTGCGGGTGGTAAAAGTGCCAGTCAGGCGAGTTGAGGGGGAAACCGAGGAAGACACAGGGGACAGTGGGGGCAGTGAGCTTGTCCGTGCCTGAGGCACGGACGTGAGCGAGGCAGCCCTAGACGTGGAACGCGGACGCGTCACCAGGGAACCCGGTCCAAAGAAGGGTCGGCGAAACCTGCAGCCACTGGGAGCACGGCCAGAGGTTAAGCTGGTGAGCAGCATAGCGAATGGCGAACGGCCACAGAAAATGGGGTGCACCGGCATGAATCATGGAGGTACGCGCCACCTCCATGACCAAGCCAATGCATAGCTCAGCGATCCCATTCTGCTACGGGGAGTCCGATAGGGAGTACAACTGGGTGATGCCCTCCGCACGACAGAACTGTCCAAGCCAACCAGAGGCGAACTCGCCGCCACGGTCGGAGTGGAGACACAACACAGGGAGACCGCGGTGAAGGCAAGCAGCCACGACCCACGGGATGAGAATGCCAGGCACGTCGGCCTTCCGCTCCAAGGGAAACACCGTGGTGTAGCGCATGTAGTTGTCCACGCGCACTAGAAAGTAGCGCTCGCGACGCGGTCCGGGGACGGGGGCTGGGCCCCAGACGTCCAGGTGCAGGGTCTGAAGGGGTGCGGTGGCAGGACGAAGCGAGGAGGAGTGAGGAGCACGGCGAAGCCACCCCTTGATGCAGGGCGTGCACGGCGGCGCAGAGCGAGGGAGGGAGGGCAGGAAGCAACGCAGGGAGACCTAGGACAAGACCGTACTGGGACATGTGACGCTGACGCGGGAGTACGAGGTGACCTAGGTGGTGGTGCCACAGAAGCGACGGGTGAGTGAGCGACCGACACGAGCACGCAGCGGCGACCTGGGTAGACGGGAGGGATGGTCCACCCGGGGGGGAAGCAGTGTTCAGCGTAAAGAGGCCAGACACCAGGTCCCAGGGGAACGTCGCAAGGGGGGAACGTGAGGCAGCCTCGGTATAGACGGCGTACCGCTCGTGACCCGGGTACATAGTGGTGACGCCAAGGTCCTGAAGACAGCCGACACCAACTAAGTTCCGGGAGAACGAGGGGATGTGGAGGCCTGTAAGGGAGCCCAAGGGGACCGCTGGACAGGGGAAGGAAGTGTAGCTGCGAGCAACAACAGGACCAGACGAAGGGGTCAGCAAGTGCGACAGCAGCAGGCACGGCAAGTGACGTGAGTGTGGCGTGGTCGCGGAAAAAGCAGGCAGACGTACTGGAGTCAAGTGTGAAGGACAGCGAATCAGTAGCAGTCGACGAAGGAGGAGCGAGTGTGGACCTAGACTAGATGAAGCAAACGGTCCTACGCTTGGCACATCAGGGGAGTCTGTACTACACACAGGTGCTACGCCTAAGCTAGAGAACACAGGGTAATAAGATCCGGACACACTAGAAGTGTCAGCATACAAAGAATGCAAGGCATAACTAATCTGATCCATGTCTAAATCAAAAATAGGCACACCGTGGTGCAGCAGGCTGGGCCAGTTAGGGAGGTCCGGAGCAGGGCCGAAGTGGCGATGAAAGAGGTCGTCAGGGCGGCGGAAGCAGCGGGCGGCGACACACAGTGCCACGGAGAGGCCTGGTCTGGAGCTGGTACTGGCAGCTGACTGCACTGAAACCACTGGTAGACGCCGAGCTGTGAGGGCCGCCACCTCGGCCACCACCTCCAGGGGCTCCCGACCACCCTGGCGGGAGGTGGGCCCACAGCTGCTGTTGCTGCTGTTGCGGCTGCAGCTGCTGCTGCTGCTGCGGCGGCTGCTGCTGCTGCTGCTATTGCGGCAGCTACTGCGACTGCTGTGGCTGCTGCTGCTACTGCTGCTCCTTGACACCTGCCCCAGCCCCCTCGTCAGAACCACTGTCGCCGCCACCACCACCACCACGCCCTCCCTTGGGGCCGCGACGGCCCCGACGCTGGCGCTGGTGCTGCGGAAAGGCCGCCGCTGCGGTCTCAGGAGCAGGAGCCGGCGTAGCGACTGCAGTGGAGACGTCCGCGTACGTGCACTGGGAGGGAGCACAGCCCTGAAAGATAGGGAATGCCGCAACACCGCTCGACTAAGCGATAGTGCGCTGGCGAGTCTCTATCTCAGAGAGGGCAGCGACAAAGGCGGTCAGGGTGAGGTCACCTGGGTGCTGGCTAAGGAAGTGGTCGCGGGCAGTGGCTAGGCGGTCAGGGAGGCGCATGGCAATAAGGTACATGGTAGCCCAGAATGTGGGGGGAAGGCAGTGAGCTGGGCAGTAGTGCTAGCGGCATGGTAGCTAGTCACTAGTGCACGGAGGTGAGTGGCAAGATCAGCAACAGTGGGGAAAGTAGAGAGATCGGGGAAGAGCATGGGGAGGATCATGCGGCCAGCTGAGGCGAAGGCAGGCGTGGAGTAGCGGTCAACTACAACATCTAGGAAATCCTTGGCGTTCGTGACAGTAGTGAAACGCGGACACTCAGAAAGGGGAAGGGCATGACTAATGGCAAGCTGCGCTACAGCATCGCGAGAATCCCAGACAGTGCGAGCGAGCGCAGCAGCAGCAAAGGCCTCACTCTCAGCAATGGTGGGGGCAGCAGGGAGGGGATCAGGGGCGGAAGGGCGAGGAAGCAAGCCATCAACATGCATAGCCAGGGAGTGCCCATCCTGGCGCTGACCTGTGAGGTGCCGGCGGAGATCGACAAGCCAGGCGGTGAAGTCGATCGCGTGCGCCATCGCTCAACCACAGCGACACTGGGACACAGCGGCACAGGGACACAGCGGCACAGGGACTCAGCGGCACGGCGGCAGGACTCTCCGGAACTGAACAGAAAGGAAGGCCGAGGAGGGCGCGCGAGGAGTCGAGGCGCACAAGGGGCTGGCGTGTGGAGAGGGGCCGGCAGGGCACGTGGGGGCGGAGGTGCGCAGGAGAGGGGCCGGCTAGGTGGTAGGGGCCGGCTAGGTGGTAGGGGCCGGCTAGGTGATAGGGGCCGGCTGGGCGCAAGGGGCGGACTAGGCGCGAGGGGCCGGCAAGGCGCGAGGGGCCAGCTAGGGCGTGAGGGGCCGGTCAAGTGCAAGGGGCCGGTGAGGCGTGAGGGGCCAGCTAGGGCGCGAGGGGCCGGTCAGGCGCGAGGGGCCAGCGACGGCAAGGGGGGCCAGCTAGGGCGCGAGGGGCCAACGTAGGCGCGAGGGGCCGGCTAGATGCGAGGGGCCGGTGAAGCGTGAGGGACCGGCTAGGGCGCGAGGGGCGGGCCGGCTGGTCGCGAAGGGGCCGGCTGGGCGCTAGGGGCGGGTGATGACGCGAGGGGCCAGCTAGGGCGTGTGGGGCCAGCGAAGGCGTGAGGGGCTGGCGAGGCGACGGCGCGAGGGGCGGGCCGGCTGGGCGCAAGGGGCCGGCTAGAGGGCAAGGGGGCCGGCTAGGCCGCGAGGGGCCGACGGGCACGCTAGGGGGCCGGCTACGGCGCGAGGGGATGGCGGGCACGCTAGGGGCTGGCGAGGCGCGATAGGCTAGGGCGTGGGGGGAAGCGGGTGGAAGGGGGGGGGGGGGGGGACCTAACCTACGCATGATACCATGTTAGAAGATTAGAATGAATTAAAACAAGAGAGAACAAGAGAGATAGTGTTGGGTTGTACCCACTAAGAACATACACATATCCAGCCTATAACTTCTACATAACATCATACCGGTATGTATAAGTTGACAACCGCATCAGAGCCCCCATGGAAATAGTTTCGACACCTAGTTCATTGTACACCGTAAGGCCTTTGTTCAGCAACTCAAATGCATTAATGTAGGAGTTTGTGTAGGTGATTTCCATCTGGCTAAACAAAGAATCTCTTGGGTCTCGAGGCCACGGATCCTGCACACCATGCAAAAGACCATAGTAAAACCACCACGAATAAATGTCACACGTGACTGTAGACGCAAAGGCAGGGTAGAGAAACACCTAACCAAGAGAATGGAAATGAGTGCCACGAGAGGACATGCCATGTGATGCCATGCCATGCCATGCCATGCCATGTGATGCCATGCCATGCCATGCCATGCCATGCCATACCATGCCATGCCATGCCATGCCATGCCATGACATCCGTTAGGAAGCCATATGATGCTTTGCAATGCTGAACATACCATGCTGTCATGCCACACATGTCATACCAGTGACTAACCTGTTGAAGGCTCACTCCTTCCCCTTCCAGTTTCCCCTTCACTCCCACTTGCTCCCACCTCTGTCCTCCCCAACCCTCCATCTGCTGCTGATGTTTCCTCTCCCCCTCTCCCCTCCTCTCCGTCCTCACTCTTCTCCGCACTTCCCCCCTCTTCTTGTGTCCCCCCTTCCACTTCCCCCTCGTCCTTCCCCGCCAGTGCTATTACTCTCTCCGCCAGTCCCCATCCCCCTTTCCCCGCTTCTCCCCGCATTTCCGCGCGCAGACGCCTCAACTCCCCGCGCATCTCTGCCTCCGCCCTGCGCGCGGCTTCCTTCAAGCGCCGCTCCGCTTCCAGAGAGTCCGCGTGCAGCTGCGCCTCCGCCAGAGCTTCTGCCAACGCCCGTTGCGCTTCCCCCAGCGAGCGCCGCTGAGCGGAGAGGTTGAGCGCGAGCACGCAGCAGGACGCGGCGAGCACCATTCCACCCAGCGACTCCCGCCGTGCCCAAACACGCTGGCGGAACGACATCCGCGCGTGGGGGGCCGCGGGAAAGGGGGGGAAGGGTGCGGGGAGGTTCAGGGGGAGGTACGGGGGCAAGGCACCCGCAGGGCGGAGCAGAAAGTGGATCCGTCCGCAAGGGCGGTTCACTCAAGCGCGCCGTACTATTGCGCTAGGGTGGCGGTCTGCCGACACCTATTAATTTCGCAGGTGGAGTGGTACAACGCGGAAAGTATGCGTGATCAGATGAGGCGGCTAGCGGATGGACGTTTAGAGATCGAGACGTGCACGGGGATGTTTCGGGGGAGGCGATTAGGGGCTTCTTACGGCTTTGTTGCAACCAACGTACTCGACTTGGCACGCCCTGTTACACTCCTCGTAGAACCACCTCTTACACTGCTCTATTACACGACAAGCGAACACACTAAAACAAATTTAGTTCCTACTTCTCTAGAAAGAATGCAACACCCTTGAATAAGTGCGGCAGAATGATGTCACAATGTGTTTGTCACATAAAATCGTCCTCTACATCCTGCACGGATTTCCCCTCCATCTTAGCAGCAATATCTTTATTTGACGTCATCTTCTTCTCCACCATTATGCCCTTGTAACTCCGTAACTCCGCCTGTCGCTGCTTCAGCGCTTTTTCCTCCTGCTCCCGCCGAGCCTGCAGGCGAGACAAGAACCAAAGAGGGCCCATGTAAACAGGGGAGGTTGCAAGACAAACGAAGGGCAAGCACAACATAAATAGGAGAACCGTCTGCGCTCAGTTCTCCTCTATATGGGAGCCGAGTTGCACTGTTCATTAACGACTCAGTAACTGAACGAAGAATTGGTGACAAAACGGTACACATTTCACCAACGACCCACTCTCGACAGCTCCAAGGAATTGCATTTCTGGCTGCTCTGCCCCCGGCCTCTCCTGCACCAGCAATACAATAGAAGACCCACTCTCACGTGCTCCCTCGAAACTGCTTTGCTGGCTGCTCTGTCCTTGGCCTCTCCCTTCTCTCATATGAAATGCAAAAAAACAGCTAAGACTCCGAGACCCACGCTCACCTGCTCCCGCAGAATCGCCTTTCTCGCTGCTCTGTCCTTAGCCTCTCGTTCCTCTCATATTTAATGGAAAAAAACAGCTAAGACTCGAAGAACCACGCTCACCTGCTCCCTCAGAACTGCCTTCCTCGCTGCTCTGTCCTCTGCCTCTCTGGCTTCCTTCTCAGCTGCTCACAGGCAGGACAAAATTCACAAGCGGGATCAAGTACACAAGTGAGAGAGTGGGGAAACAGAAGACGTGGATATAATTGTGCGCAGGGAATATGTATCTGAAATATGAAGTTACAGTGTGTATCTCGTTGAGCTTGTTACACACACCAGCAAATTTAGAAATCAGCTGGGTCAGCTCCTCTATTGACCAGACACACACCTTGCAGATCAGGTGTCCTCTCAGCCTTGGTCTTATTGAGCCGGTTCACCACCTCGTTGAGCCGCTTCTCCACGCGCACGCTGCGCACCGCCTTGGGGTTATGGAAGCCAATCTGGCAGGGGTTCATGCACATGAGCCGCATAGGGTGTTCCATTGAGTTGTGTGTTAGGTGTCCAGTCCTCGTCACACCTCACCTGCCCCACATCACACCTCACCTGCCACAGATCACACCTCACCTGCCACAGATCACATCTCACCTGCCACACATCACATCTCACCTGCCACAGATCACACCTCACCTGCCACAGATCACATCTCTCTCACCTGCCCCATATCCGTGGAAGCTGCTTTCCTCAGGTTGAACTAAAGCATGTAGACGTTTGAGGTGACTTCTGAGTCGACCCAAAAGTCACCTCACCTGTCCCACAGCTCATCTCACCTGTACCACATTGCACCTACCCCCCCATCTCATCTCACCTACCTACCCCTCATCGCACCTCACCTGCCCCACATCCATCGAAGCTGCTTTCCTGAGGTTGGACCAAGGCGTGTAGACAACATCGATGTTGTTCAGCTTGTTGCCTGCAGGTGGCACGGGGGAGAGATGTGAGATGATTGCTTGCATGGCCACTTGTATCGGCACCAAAAAACCACCTAAGGATTGGACCAAGGAGTGCACAGAACATCGATGTTGTGCAGCTTGTTGCCTCCAGTTGCGATGAGGGATATGGGGGGCATGGGGGAGATGCGGGGGGCATGGGGGAGATGCGGGGGGCATGGGGGAGATGCGGGGGGCATGGGGGAGATGTGGGGGGCATGGGGGAGATGCGGGGGGCATGGGGGAGATGCGGGGGGCATGGGGGAGATGCGGGGGGCATGGGGGAGATGCGGGGGGCATGGGGGAGATGCGGGGGGCATGGGGGAGATGCGGGGGGCATGGGGGAGATGCGGGGGGCATGGGGGAGATGCGGGAGGCATGGGGGAGATGCGGGGGGCATGGGGGAGATGCGGGGGGCATGGGGGAGATGCGGGGGGCATGGGGGAGATGCGGGAGGCATGGGGGAGATGCGGGGGGCATGGGGGAGATGCGGGGGGCATGGGGGAGATGCGGGGGGCATGGGGGAGATGCGGGGGGCATGGGGGAGATGCGGGGGGCATGGGGGAGATGCGGGGGGCATGGGGGAGATGCGGGGGGCATGGGGAGATGCGGGGGGCATGGGGAGATGCGGGGGGCATGGGGGAGATGCGGGGGGCATGGGGGAGATGCGGGGGGCATGGGGGAGATGCGGGGGGCATGGGGGAGATGCGGGGGGCATGGGGGAGATGCGGGGGGCATGGGGGAGATGCGGGGGGCATGGGGGATATGTGATGATTGTTTGCTTCGCGTGAATCACCAATATAAATGTCGGTAGACAGCACCGACATTGTTCAGCGTGTTGCCTGCACTGCACCTGAAATGGCGAAGTGGAACAGGAAATATTGCCACCTAGCATTGCTACGTGGCACCTAACTGAGTATGGGTTGGGTACTAGGTGGCACCTCGCTGAGTATGGGTTGGGTTGGGTGCGAGGTGGCACCTACCTGAGTATGGGCTGGGTGCTAGGTGGCACCTAGCTGAGTATGGGGGGTGGGGGGGGGGGGGGGGGGGCACTACTGAGTATGGGCTGGGTGCTAGGTGGCACCTAGCTGAGTATGGGTTGGGTGCTACGTGGCACCTAGCTGAGTATGGGTTGCGTGCTAGGTGGCACCTAGCTGGGTATGGGTTGGGTGCTCCAAGTCCAACCACAAGCTCATCCACGATAAAGTGCCTCTCAGGAATGACGTCATCAAAGTGACATCATCCATGGACAGTCCAGCCCTTGGGAATTCCAACCTACAAAACCGAATTACTCCAAACCGCCAGCCCCTTCACTCACCCACGACCGAATCGGCTCTGCCCAATTGCCGGTCCTCATTCACTCACTCGACATCCTCCAGCATTTCCGGGGAGATGCCACCTGTGTTCTGTTTACACCTTGGGAACTCCGACCAACCAAACCTATCAAACCCCAAGCCAAGGCATTGACCCACCCACCTGGGATCGAGTCAGCTTTCACCAGCTGAGTGCAGTCCCCCAGCATCTCAGCGGTGACGTCATCTATGGGAACACCATGGGAACACCTTAGGGTCACCTTGGGAGCACCTTGGGAGCACCTTGCGATCACCTTTGCAACACCTTGGGAATTCCGACCTACCAAATCATCAACTCACCCTGGATCGAGTTACCAACCAAACCCAATGCCCTGTTTGCACCTTGGGATTCCATACTTATCAGATGACAAATCATCAACCCACCCACCCATGATCGAGTTAGCTTTCACCAGGTGCACATCTCATCTCCCGGGAGACGCCATCTCTGTCGTTTCCCCACCTTGGGAACTCCGACCTACCTCCCTTTCCCGACCTCCGACCTACCGACCTTTTTCAGGGCCTTGGGGGTTGGGAGCATCTTGGGAATTCCGACCGACCAAACTGACCATGCGGCGAATCATCAGCTCACCCTGGATCGAGTTGGCTTTCACCAGCTGCGCGCAATCCTCCAGCATCTCTGGGGTGACGTCATCAATGCCTTGTCCCTTGCGCAGCCGCAGGTACACGTGTGCAGAGGACAGCTTGTCCACGTGGAACCTTCACACAATGGGGGAGGGGGACGGGGGGAGGGGGACGGGGGGAGGGGGACGGGGGGAGGGGGACGGGGGGAGGCGGGAAGTGAGGAAGGGGAAGGGGGGACGGGGAAGGGGGGATGGGGAAGAGGGGATGGGGAATGGGGAATGGGGAAGGGGGGATGGGGAAGGGGGGATGGGGAAGGCCCGTGTAGATGGTGACACACCTTGAAGTAAAACCTAAGTACTCGTTTTAGAGTCGCACCATATGTCGTCTGGGAATCCATAATTGATCAGCTGCTCGTTCTCAAGCTTATCGAGTCCCATGCAGATTGTGAAGTCGCCCCCCTCTGACTGTACCAGTCTGACTATACTCGCTATAGACATTCGGTACGCACCATATGTCTTCTGGGAATCCATATTTGATAAGCTGCTCGTTCTCGAATTTGTCCAGGCCCATGTAGATCGTAAAGTCGCCCGCCTCGGGTCGAACTTTAAAGTAAAACACCATCGCGACGAGCCGCTGACGTGGCAATTTGCGGGGTCTAGGCCTCTTCACGTCAGCGCGCGATGAGGTCGCTTATATCGAAACTCGTATATAGGGAGGTACGTCACTGCGTGAGGTGCTCACTACCAGGTTCAAAAACGGGAGGCGAGTAGGCTACTCAGTGCTCGTTCCGGTAGGCGATAAAATGCCGGGCTTTAAGAACCAGGGACTCGAGTTTCAAGAACCCCTCTCAAGTGTTTCACACGAAAGAGTGATAGTGTGCTGCAAGCACGGACACCGACGGCTAGTTGAAAGGCATATCAGGCGGGAGGAAACGACGCTGCACGGCGGGAGTACCGTCCAATTCCGCCCAGCGAGATCGGTATGTGATGGCGCGGCACGGCCGGAGCCAGCCTATTGGTAGACCCCTAGGCAAATCATTTCTTTGTGTCTGCGACCTAGGGTTTAGTCAAGGTTGAAAGTAACCCGTTATAAGGTGATGAGATAAGCGCATTTTACTGCTTGAGCAGCAAAAGCATGAAGGGAAAAGAATGTACACTGAAACTCATTGCCTAGAAATTGCTTGTTTCACATAAACCAGGGCGCGTCTTAAAAGGTTTAAAAACGTACTTAATTGCAGCTCTTTGTCGCGTGTCATTCTGTTTCTCTAAACGTCGCGTGTCCTTGCGATTATGAACCTAAACAACCCGAATTGACACCAGGAAATTCACTCTCAAATCACAAGCTTCTTGACTGGAGGTGATGCGCTCACCTCGTTTCACCTTGAAGATCTCCGAAGACTGAATCTCTGCATTTATAAGCACGCCCTGCCCACTTCATGCCTGCCACCTTCAACCAAGGTTTCTGAAGCCACTCGATTTCAGCATTTGAATTCTAGAAGCTGATTTCTAGAACCAGGATTGAGACTGCTGCGAGAGGTCTCCATGAGGTTACATCCCAGCCACCAGCAGATTGTAGGCAGCGAAGTAAATTAATACTGTATTCTGATAGTCTCAAACATAAGCAGGCGACTTAGTTAGCTGATGCTTTTAGCTGGTGTAAACCGAAAATCTGGTCCGTTCATTACCCGCTAATTGCGATGGAAACTCCGGATGGAGCTGCTCAAAATGACGTGGCAATTGTTGATAGGGCAGCTGATGTTGCGGATGACGCGGGAGAGCGAAATGAAACGGAAGACGGTGAGACGCCGGTGAAGGAGGATGACAGGAGTAAGAAGGACAGAGAGAGGAGGAAAAGCCGAGATAAGGATCGGGACAAGGATAGGGAGAAGGATCGGGACAAGGATAGGGAGAAGGATCGGGACAAGGATCGAGGTGATAAAGAAAAGGAGCGATCGGAGCGCCACAAGGATAGGAAGGATAAGGATAAGAGCAAGGAGAGGCGGAGTCGAGGGAAAGAGGACGGAGACGGAGATAAGGAGAAGGATAAGGACAGGGATAAAGAGAGAGATAAGGAGAAGAAGGATAGGGATAAGGATAGGGATAAGGACAAGGATAAGAGCAGAGAGAAGGACGACGAGAGCAGGAAGGGTAGAGATGAGGAGAGAAAGAAGGAGAAAGCAGAGGGGAAGGGAGGTGATGGTATGGATGGGGATGAGAAGAAGAGGGAGAGGAAGGAGAGGCATAAGGACAGAGAGGGAGGCAGCAGCAAGAAAGAGAGGAAGGATGACGACAAGGACAAGTCGAAGAGCCGAGACAAGGAGAAGGAAAGAGAGAAGGAAAAGGAGAAGGAAAAAGAACGGAAGAAGGAGAAGGAGAAAGAAAGCAAAGAGGCTGGTTTGGCTGAGGGGGGTAAGGATGAGGAGGGAGAGGAAGGGGAGCTGAAGGAAGAGGGAGAAGCAGGGGAGGTAAAAGAGAAGGGAAAGGATGAAAAGGATAAGTCAAGGGGCAAGGAGAAGGAGAAGGAAAAGGAGAGGGACAGGAAGAGAGATAAGGAGAGGGAGGAGAAGCGGGAGAAGGACAAAACGCGGGATAAGGAGAAGGATAAGGATAAGGATAAGGAGAAGGATAAGGAGAAGGGGAGGGACAAGGAGAAACAGAGGGATAAGGAGAAGGACAAAGAGCGGGAGAAGGGTGACAGAATCAAGAGCAGGGACCGAGATCAAGAGAGACACAAGGAGAGGGACCGAGACGCCGTGAAAGATAAAGACGCGCGGAAAAAATCGCCAGAAGCGGATCGCCCTTCCCGCCGAAGACGCTCCCGCAGCCGCTCCCGCTCCCCCCGCCTCCTCCGCTCCCGCTCGCGCTCCGCCTCTCCCGGCCGCGCCGGCGGAAGGCGGGGGGAGTTCGCGGGCGCGCGCGGGCACGGGAAAGGGGGGCTCGCGCGCAGGGGGGGCGACCGGCGACAGCGCCACCACCGATCGCGATCCCGCAGCCGATCTAGATCTAGGTCCGATTCGCTAAGCCTCTCTGTCTCTAGATCGCGATCTCGATCCAGATCGCCCAATCAGGAGGAGAGAGTGAGGAGGGCGAGGGAGGAGAGGGAGAGGGATGCTATGGAGAGGTCCCCCTCTCCGGGGGAGAAAGCGAGGAGGCGGAGAGAGGAGAGGGAGAGGGATAGCATGGAGCGGAGCGGGTCTGAGGGGGATGGGCGGAGAGGGGGGGCGCTGGGGGAGAGAGAGGCGGGGGAGGAGGGTGGAATGCGGGGTGGATGGGAAAGGGGGGAAAGCGGGCTGGAGCGAGACGCTGGGGGTGGTGCAGGGGGTGGGTATTATGGAGGTGGTGGTGCGTATGGTAGTGGTAGCGCGGTTGGTGCTGCAGGAGGGGATGGAGGGGATGTGGATATGGCAGCTGCTGATGCTGCAGATGGTGGTTATGGGGGTATTGCCGGTGCTGGTGGTGCTGGTGACATGGCTGCTGGTGCTGTGCTGCTCCCGGTGCCTCCTCTGCCGCCCCCTCCTCCGCCACCGATTGACCCAGAAGCGGAGATGAGGATGATGCAGATGATGGGCATCCCCATGGACTTCGATAGCACCAAGGTGAGGGGATGCAGGGTGGAGGGAGGACATGGTGTGAATAGGAGATGCTTCCTTGCGTGAATAGGAGATGAGGATGATGCAGATGATGGGCATCCCCATGGACTTAGATAGCACCAAGGTGAGTGAATGGAGAGGTGTGGGGGGTGGGGGGGGAGGGGGAGGTGGGAGATTGGGTAAGGGGGTATAGGGTAAGAGGGTGCTGGATTAGTGAATGCTCATTATGATCCACGTTTGCGGCATGACCATCCATGCAGTGTTTTCTTGCATGTCTACGCAATCGCTATCCAGCCCACCCCTCCTCCCACAGCGGTTTCTGCATGCTTCCTGTTTCACTGTAATCTCCAAATTGACTCCTGTTACCGGTACCTTCCGCAGGGAAAGGAGGTGAAGGGAGCCAATCAGCTTAGTGCTGTGAAGCGGAACACTAAGAGGCAGCCACGTCAGTACATGAACAGAAGAGGTGCGTTGGATAAGATAGGGAATGTGTGGGGATGGTGGGGATGGCGGGGATGGCAGGGATGGCAGGGATGGCGTGGCGGGGATGGCGGATGGCAGGTGGGGTGCACCTTGACTGGACTTTGTACTGTACCTCTGTCTTTTTTTGTCTGCTGATTTTAATTCCTCTACGCAATGTCCATTCAACTACACCTGCTGCTTAACCATTGTTCCCCACCCTTCTCTTGGTTTTATGCAGGTGGTTTCAACCGTCCGTTGCCAGCTGAAGTCAATCGTTGACAAGATTTTGTTCAAGCCAAGCGTTTTGTTCAAGAGCATGCACCCTGCGAGGGGATGGTTGTTGCAGAATGGTGCATGAGTAGTAGGTCATGAGGATTTATAGAGAGTGTTTCAGATTTATGTGGTGTTCGGCATTCCAATGCTTTTTTGTGAATAATGCGATGTACCAACGCTCAGCTCGATGACCAAGAATGCTGTTTGGGAGTGGTTCGGAAAGCCCAGATACACAAATCCCAAAAAGCCGAGCGTTTGAGAAATTGGAGGTCCACGTCACATTCAACTTGGCCCTCCTCGCGCCTCCACGTGTTGCGTCATCCAAGACTCAGCCATTCACAGCTGTTCTGCCACGCACGCTGGGCTGACGCTGGCACTCCGCCATCACCCCAAAACGCTGTGGGAGTTCCCACTCGCGCGAGCATTTCTGAGCACCTGGTTATGAGGCTGGGGAGAGGTGGTTTGCTCGAAGCACCGTACTGTGACGTGCGCAAACTTCTCGTAGATATTAAGCACCGAGCTGCACCGTAGAGAAATTGTTCGAAAGCATTCAGCTCTTGAACATACCTTCAGACCATCCTGTGACTTAATCAGCAGGGGTCCAGAAGGTCCTACTACCCATACCACTCTCTAAAGCCTACTAATTCAGCAGTGCGTGCTGCTGCTGTGTGGTGCTGTTCGCCTAAGCCAAGGCGCAGAGCAGTTGTGTTCTATAGTTTGCATTTCTCTGATATATATACGGGTTTCGTCCGGCCATGGCTGCCGCTGCACAGATCAGCTCAGCTGCTCTCAGGATCCCGGAGAGGGCTGTCTATGGCGGCTCGTTCGCCACATTCTCGGGATTGTCGGCCGAGAAGACGTTCGCCGCTCGCATGACTGTCAACGTGCAAGGTAGAGCTAGCGGCTGACGGTTAGGATAGCCTTCGCAGCAGGCTTGGCCTCTGCACTCAAAATGTAATACTCAATTGAACTTTAGGGTTAGGCATTGAGCATCTTCAGCCTCTTAGGCTACGGTCCATGGAGTTTTTATCGTGGGAGCGTCAATAAAAAGGCTCCACATATTTCCTCTCTCCAGGTGAAGCCCGCCACTCGGCTCTGCTAGTGGAGGACAGGGAGCGTCTCAAAGAGAGAAAGCTTTTTCAGTCGGACTGGATTGTAAGATTTTCTGCTTCCTTCCTCTCTCCAGGTCAAGCCCGCCACTCGGCTCTGCTAGTCGAGGCCAGGGAGGCGACTCGGAGAGAGAAGGTCAAGGCGCGCCACTTGCGGATTCGCAAGAAGGTACAAGCGTGTGGCTAACAAATGTGCGTGAAAGGGGGTGGATCAGGGATGACCGTAGAAGCATGTGGAGCCGATACTGGGGAACTGGGTAGCTGGGGTGAATGGATGACCGATACTGCGGATTCGCGAAAGCCGGCGGAAGCAGCAGCTGTTTTTGCGTCGATCACGTGGTGCGTCTCGGGAGGGAGCATGGCAGCTGCTTTTGCGTCGATCACGTTGTTTTTCGCTTCACGAAAAAAACATGGGGCTTCTCTGTAGACGCACGATCGCCTCTCGGGAGGGGGTAGCAGCTGCCTTCGCCAGGTGACTGGCATCGGCCGTAGACTCGTCGTTTTTCGCTTAACGAGGCCCCCGCGGTCCTTCGGGTCTTCACGTGGCGTAAAGCGTTCTTCTTTTTTAGTCCCTCCGACTAGTGGTACTTCCGAGTTCGGCGCAGAATCAGGATGGATGATCCTGGACGAGTATCAGTGATCGCGACAGGTAGCAAGAGGGCTTGGCTATGAGTTGACTGCTAAGTCGGTTTTAGGGTTTGAGCAAGAAGGGTACTCGCTGTTACCTGACGTCCATTCAACCCCTACGCGTGGATGTTTGTGCGGTTGTTTGAGTGCAAGTGTATTGGACGACCGGCGAGATTAGACTGGGTGCAAGTGTATTGGACGACCGGCGAGATTAGACTGGGTGCAAGTGTATTAGACGACCGGCGAGATGTCCCTAGTGCTCGGAGAGTAAGACTGGGGAGGACTACGCCAGATTGCGTACCTTGTCGCGCACACGCTAGGATGACGGTAGCTTGGTTCTCGGTCAACCCGGTCATTCAGCACCCAGAGCGACAATAGCACCCAGAGCGACAATAGCACCCAGAACGACAATAGCACCCAGAGCGACAATAGCACCCAGAGCGACAATAGCACCCAGAGCGACAATAGCACCCAGAGCGACAATAGCACCCAAAGCGACAATAGTACCCAGAGCGACAATAGCACCCAGAGCGACAATAGTACCTCGATTGACAATAACACCCAGAGGGACAATAGTACCTAGAGCGGCAATAGTACCTAGAGCGACAATAGTACCTAGAGCGACAATAACACTCAGAGGGACAATAGCACCCAGAGCGGCAATAGCACTCAGAGGGCCAATAGTACCTAGAGCGACAAACGCACCCAGAGCGACAATAGTAGCACGCCGACCGAAAATAATAGCAGGCATCATAGCTATTATTGTTGGTCTGCGTGCTACTGCTGTGGATCCTCGACTGCCTGCCAGCCAGCCTGCTGCAAGCTCTCTTGAAATCTGTGTGCTTCCTCTCCTCCGTGGTCCAGCATCCAGTTCGGCAACGGGCAGCTTGACCTAACGGAATGAAGCCCGTGCGTGGTCCGCGGAATCTGTTGACTTCTGCCTGCTGCTGGGGTCAAGTGGATGAAGATGCATGTACCTGTTGCTGTTTGATCAAAGTCGCATTTTGCACGCCTGAGTCACGTTTCCCATTCTCTGTGTTTCACCCCCCCCCCCCCCCGCAGCTGAATGGCACCACGGAGAGGCCACGCCTCGCTGTCTTCCGCTCCAACAACCACATCTACGCGCAGGTCAGTCAGTAATGATGGATCTTTCACCCCAGGCAAGCTACACTCCGGTCAGTCAGTGGTGACGTGTCTATCACCCCAGGCAAGCTACACTTAGGTCCGTGCCGATTCATCCAGGCTAGGTCATGTGCATGGGTCATGAACATGGGTCATGCTTTGACCTGAACGACGTCCCCCCCCAACCACGGGCCCCTGCCACCACGTTCCCCCTCTAACTCGTCCCGCCTCCGCCACGTCCCCCTTCCACCACGTCCCCCCTCCATCACGTCCCCTCTCCACCACGTTCCCCCTCCACCACGTCCCCCCTCCATCACGTCCCCCCTCCACCACGTCCCCCCTCCACCACGTCCCCCTTCCACCACGTCCCCCTTCCACCACGTCCCCCCTCCACCACGTCCCCCCTCCACCACGTCCCCCCTCCACCACGTCCCCCCTCCACCACGTCCCCCCTCCAACTCGTCCCCCCTCCACCACGTCCCCCCTCCAACTCGTCCCCCCTCCACCACGTCCCACCTCAGGTGATTGACGATACTCAGCATACACTCTCGCAGCTCATGTGTTCACTCATGCTGATATGCCCGCGTGTCATGTATTCACTCTACGATTTACACAGGTGTCATCACACAAGTGTGTTCAATTGTACTCAATCCATACACCCACCCCACTTTCCGCTCGACCAGGTGATTGACGACACCCAGCAGCACACTCTTGCTGCCGCTTCCACCCTTCTACCCGCCCTTCGTGAGGAGCTGAAGCTGACTTCCGGCCCCACTGTGGTAAGAGACTTGTTTAGCCCCACTCTTGTCAGCTTAGCCCCACTGTGGTAACTGACTCACGTAGCGCCGCTTTGGGTAGGCCGTGGTAACTGCGTAGAGGTTCGACTAGTCGACTGGGGCTAGTGGGAGAGGCTGGGAAGTGCTGCCGGGGGGATAAAAGTTTCCAGGAGGACGTTGATGGGACGTCAGGCATGAGCCACAGGAGGACGTTGATGGGACGTCAGGCATGAGCCATAGGAGGACGTTGATGGGACGTCAGGCATGAGCCATAGGAGGACGTTGATGGGACGTCAGGCATGTGGGTTACAAACCACATGTCGCAATTTGCCGAGTGCAATCTTGCTGATGTTCTGAACCCTGAGCCGGTCTGTCGGTCCCACTCTCCTTCCAAGGTGGCGTTATTCCATCAACTAATGGCCAGCCCGTTTTGCTTGCCCCGTTTCTGTGCAATGCAGGAGGCATCGCGGCGTGTGGGTCAGGAGATTGCAAAGATCTGCTTGGAGAGGGGCATCAGCAAGGTGGCCTTCGACCGTGGCGGTTTCGTGTACCACGGCCGCATCCAGGCTCTTGCTGATGGTGCACGTGAGGGCGGGCTTGAGTTCTGAAAAGTGGTTGTGAATGGTCTGCGGTTGTATGCACACTAGCTGTATGGAGCCAAATCTGTGCTCATGTGGAATAATGCAAAGTTTCCATATCGAATAGAAGGAAGTACAGCCACAATCATTTTCTTGAGCTATTGCAGATCTGAAGTCATGTCATGGCTATGTCGCAACTGCTCGGTGAGCAATATGGGCCTACGCATTTTGTTCACATCTTCGTAATTTCGAATGTAGCTTCAATCGGGCAGTTTCCGAAGTGTAGTAGGTCTGTACGATTGTGTGTAAAAAGGATGAGGTTTCAAGCGCGTCAAGGTTTAAAAGAATACGCGGGAAGCCGAACCGTCTGACTGTCATGCCCTGACAGAGGAGCTGAGGGACAACTCTTTTCGAGGAAACCCTCCCCCGAATGACTTCCAGGCTGGTTGGGAGTGGACGAATTTTCTTTCGAGTCAACTGTTCAGAATTTTGTCAAAATGTAGGAGGAATCTAGCAGTACTCTTAAAGTTTATGCAGCTCGTACGGATTAGGTTTTAGCTTGTGAACACTTGCAACTGGCAGGTATTTTCACGTGTATTTCCTCCCATAGTTTCCCTGGGTCATTAGTCACGCTAAAAACCCACCCCCAACACCAGCCTTTTGAGAATTCCATTCTTGAGGGAGCCAAGCTCCAGCCCACACCTCAGCAGCAATCTAGGCGCCCTTGCCCCTGGCCCTGGCAGCCCAACTGAAGCGTGTTTGCAGGCTGTTCTTGGCAACCCTGCAACTTCGGCTGGGATGTCTCTCTGACAGTCTGTGAACGGCATCGTCAGTTCTTGGCATTTGGTCCAAGGTACAGAGAGAGGACGGTTTCAGCTTTACCTAGCTTAGAATAATCTTGAAGAAAACGCTGACTCGGAACGTCTTGTTTGAGTAGGAAGCGGAGATAATATTTCAGTCCTGGTTCTCGCATTAGGTCCTTGTCGTGACCTGAAGTCTGCGAAACGCTTAGTTTCTTGCCAGCTATCTTCCTTGTCTCGAGGAATATTGTAGATGTTTTCAGGTCCTAAAGTTTTTCCTCAAGAACTGGATATATACACTAGAGCGTTTTCAGCTTCCGAACCTGAATCGGCTTTAGCTAACTTATCCATATCATAATTTGTCTCTAGCGCTAGACTTCGCCAATGGCGGAGGCCATTTCCGTAGCGATTCGTTTTAGGCCGTTAAGTGACGCAGAGAGATCCGATGGCACTCCGTGGTCCGTCCGAGGGAGCAAAATCCAGCTGACCGATAGCCGAGGGAACGTCGCTGCGGAATATGCTTTTGGTAGGTCGCTTGCGAGTTGAATGACTTTCAGGGTTTGCCTGCTCAAGCAGCTCTCATCTTCTTCCTGACTCGCATAACTTCAGATAAATATAAAGTTAGTAGTTCCTCTGATAAGTTTCTTAACAGCAGAATTGTCCGTACCTGATAAGATCCATCTGGGTTGTTTCAGATCATGTCTTCGATGGAAGCTCGACGTCGGACGAAGTCTTTCAGAGCCGCGCATGCGAGATTGCTAAAGCTGCTGTCGATGGCTTCAACGGTCAGTAGAAGAAAGAGAGACATGAAGATTCTAGTAGATGTTTACTACTAATATGCTGCTATTTTTGTACTAGCTCATTGACTGCTTCGTTTTTGGACACTCCAGGTACTATCTTCGCGTACGGCCAAACAAGCAGCGGCAAGACCTTCACCATGAGAGGCGTGCCTGCGTGCGAAGGCGTCATCCCCCTCTCCGTTCGTCAGGTCTTCGACACCATCGCACAGGTAACGACTTTTTTACTCGAAACATCAAAACAAAGCATTGTTTCGGGTCTTTGACACCGTCGCACGGGTGATTACTGACGATCTCTTCGACTTGGAGCAATCTCACTTGACGCATCTTGGGGTTTTAACGCGTCGTGTTTCGATGCGACTCTTTTAAGCATGCAAATCTCGTTTGCTGGCAGACGATGAACCGGGAGTTTCTTCTCCGGGTGTCTTATCTCGAGATCTACAACGAGGAGATCAACGATCTGCTGGCTCCTGACAACCGGAGGCTTCAGATTCATGAGAGCCTGGAGGTGCGGGAACGCCTGATAAGACGACACGGCTGACATGTCCGCTTTAGAGAGTCTTGCTTGCGACGAGCTTTCACGTCATCTGATACACTGTCAAACCGTTTGTCGGTTACCTGAACGTTTGAACCTGCCCGAAGCGTTTCGTTCTGCTATAGTATTGCTGCCGCTTTTCATTTGCGCTTTTCGTTCGCGCTTCTCGTTCGCGCTTCTCGTTCGCGCTTCTCGTTCGCGCGTTTCGTGTTCGTGCGTGCAGAAAGGTGTCTACGTCGCTGGTATCCACGAGGAGGTGGTCTGTAGCCCGGAGCAGGTGCTGCAGCTGCTCACCATCGGCGAAGGTACGGCTTTCTTCTTGCTGTTTCTTTCTATCATGTTTTGTACAAAGCGCAGCGATTGTTTTAAACGAAAACATAACAGTTCTGTTGGGGTGGTGCGTCTTGCAGCGAACCGATCCATCGGAGAGACGAAGATGAACGAGAAGAGTAGCCGCTCCCACGCCATCTTCCGCATGGTACGCTGGTCGCTCACCGCGCCATGGTATGCTGGTCGCTCACCCAGTCATGGCAACCAGGCACTGGATCCATTCGGTCTTCCTTCTGTGGTGCTCGCTTTGCTCGCACGAGGAATCCCTTTATGCACATGTTATGTAGAAATGAAATACTGAATTCGCCCATCCTGGCAATTTATCTCCTCGTGCACGCTGGTTTTATGCAGGTCATTGAAAGCAGGGAGATCACGCCGGAGGGGAGCGCAGATGCTGCTACGGATGCTGTTCTCGTCTCCAGCCTGGTGAGCGCCACTCGAATCTGTCTGTCATCGGACCAGCACAATACAACAATCATGGGTGCATAATCTCCTTAGCCGCACTCATCTATCTTTAAAGAAAGAAGGAAATATGAAATTAATATGTCTTGCATGTGTCCATTTATTCATAAAGCCACCTCTCCTGCCCCTCTCTTTCTTCCCTCCCTCGCAGAACCTGGTTGATCTGGCTGGGTCTGAGAGAGTGGCCAAGACGGGCGCGGAGGGGTCCCGGCTGAAGGAGGGGGGGCACATCAACAAGAGCCTCATGGTGCTGGGCACGGTCATCAACAAGCTCAGCGAAGGCGCTGACAAGAACGGGTGAGCTGAAGGGATTGATTGAAGCACGAAGTTTCGCATATTGTTCATTCAGAGGGTTCTCATGAAGCGGACTCATGGTGTTTATGTTAAGCAGTTCCTTCTCTTGCTGTTGTTTTGACTGTGTTTCAAGGCTGTGCGGCTGTCCATGTTGCGTGCAGGGCTCACATCCCATATCGAGACAGCAAGTTGACGCGCATTCTGCAGCCAGCGCTGGGTGGCAACACCAAGACGGCCATCATCTGCTGCGCCACTCCTGCCCTGGTAACAAAACCGAATGCCCTCTCCTGAACCCCTCCCATCCGCTTTCCCAGCTGCCTTTCCTTCCTGACCGATGCCAAGCGTAGCCTACTGAACGGTTTTCTGTTCCTCGTTGTGATTGCAGAGACATGAGGATGAGACGCATGGCACTCTCCGGTTCGCCCTCAGAGCGAAGCGCATCACCAACTGCGCTCAAGTCAACGAGGTAACGCCTCGCTCAATGACTAGGCTCTTCTTTGGTTGCTGCGCCCAGCAACCTATAACATGCTAACTTCCCTGCTATCCTGGTGTCATGCGCGACATGTCCACGTGTAGCTTTGCTTGACCAATGCTTGCCCAATGCTTGCCTCGTTGCGCCGCAGATCCTCACGGACGCGGCGCTGCTCAAGAGGCAGACCAAGGAGATCGAGGACCTCCGGCGCAAGCTGGAGGCGTCGCACTCGCCGGAGATGGAGCAGGAGATCATGAAGCTGCGCAACGCCATGCTCAAGGTCAGGCCTCTCAAGGCTGCTGCTCTGTGAGCTTGTTTGTTGTTGCAAGTCGAGAGTAACATGCTCCTGCTGGTTATTGACGAGCATCAACGCTTTTGCTACCCGTGATCAACAGCACTCTACCAGCAGGAGTATACTGGAGGGACGTCTCAGGCTTTGTCAGATGAAGATGAGAAGCAGACGTCTAGTGTTCCCTGCGCCTTGAGCAGATGGAGTCGGAGACGGAGAGACATAAGCCAGCTTAAGACCTAACTAATGTTGCCCATCCTGACCTTATATGTGCCTTGCTCAGATGGAGTCGGAGAAGGAGGTGATAGCGCTGCAGCTGCAGGAGGAGCGGGCGCTGCACTCGCAGAAGGAGCAGCGCATCAAGGAGCAGGAGAGGAAGATCGAGAACCTCAGCACGCTCGTCATCAAGGCCGCCGCTGCCGGGGACAGGCAGAACGACCGGCGCCCAAAGAAGGTGGGTGTTTGCTGGGTGGCAAAACAAGATGTTGGAACCCCTTGGAGGTCAACGATGTGGGTGGGTTGGGCAGAGGGGGTGGCGGAAAAGGGGCTAGGGGAAAGGGAGGACGGGACATGGTGATGCGCATTGCAGTGAGTCGCCTAGTACAACTGTGTGAAATGGTTTGTCACCAGTTTTTGTGTTCTTACACGTGCTTGGGCGTACTAAACAAAGTGTTGTTGTGGGCGTCTTGCAGTTCAACCGCAGAGAGTCGTGGTGCCCCACTGCACGAGTGGAGAGCAGCCCAGCTGGAAACAAGGTGAGAAGGTGCCTGGAAGGGAGGGCTATAGGCGGGTTGTCGTACGACTATTAGAGGATACCAGGGCCTCTCACTTTGTGCTGCATCCTGCACTTCATTGCGCCTTGGGATTGCATGGCTGCTCCATATGCTGTGTTTCAATTCTCTTTAGAGGCATGTTTTACTGCGGACTTGTAGCGTTTTCTGCTTCTCTCATATGCTGTGCCCGGCTCCTCTCTAATGGCTTGTTGCACTGCTCCCCACTGGCATGTTGCTGTCCAGGAGAACCAGCCTGGAGGGCTAAAGCGCCTGGCTTTCATACGGCGAGCCACAGCTTTCAGAGAGGACGATGAGGAGGAGGAGGACGACGAGAAGGATGAGAAGCAGGAGGAGGTTCAGGAGGTCAAGGGGAACGCGAAGAGGAGGATCAGCAGTGTGCAGAAGCTGGCTGCTATGTGGGAGACGAGTGGACCCAAGGAGGTTAAAGTAGCAGAGGAGACTGGAGAGTGCCAGGACGGCCAGTCGGTTGGAGGTGCAGGAGGGTTCGGGTCTGGAGTGTCGCAGGATGAGAATGCTCGTGATGGGTCCAAGAGGAGGCGCACTGCACCGTGCGGTGACGAGAAGGAGAACTCGTTGGAGGAGACTTTGCCTGGTGCAAAGAAGGTGAGTCAGTCAGACGACCCTTTACCTTCATCATGCAGAATAATGCCTCATTCTTGCAGATTCTAATCATAAAGCCTTCTCTTTCTTCTCCCCCCGTGTTTTCCATGCGTACTCACCTGCTGCAGCCTCTCCGTGGTGTGACCATCAGCAGCTCCCTGTCTGCTCAATGGAGTGACGGGCTAGCAAAGCAGGTACGCCTGTCAAGTCTAGCTGGTGCTCGTTCTGGTGAGTGTCCTAGCTGCTGATCAGGGGGCTTTCTGCACTTGTGCAAACAAGGTCGACTTACCTCCTGCTTCAGTTTTCTTTTCCATGACTCTCGTCTCCTTTGAACTCCTCCCTCCCATATCATCTCCTGCAACTCACTCCTCCATTCCTCTTCTTTCTTTCGTTCCGTTTCCCTTCCCCACCATCCTCTCCCCGCTCTCAGTTATCAGAGAAGGACGCGCTTATAGCGCAGCTGCAAGCACAAGTGGCCACCATGCAGGTCAAGGAGGGCGGAGGAGGAGGCGCCGGGGGCAGTGCGGATGAAAGAGCAGCGGGGATGGGGCAAGCTGTAGGGACGGGGGAAGAGGCCCGGGAGGGTGGGGAGGAGAAGAGCGTGGAGTCACCAGCAGGAGATTCGGGCCAGGAGCGGCGGGCTAAGAGTATGGACAGCCCTGCTGTGATGGTCAAAGAGCTGCAGGCTAAGGTGAGCGGGGGATGGTGGGCTCTGCTAGGAACGCTCCCAGTGATTTCAGAGTGAGCTGCGGCTGGTATGCTCGTACTTCAATGGCATGCAAGCTTTGTAGTAGCATAAGAGCATAATTCTGGCATACATGATATCCTCACCTTGCTCTCGGTGATAATTGCGGATTTGTGTGGTCGCACTGCACGCAGGTGGAGGCTCTGGAGGTGGAGAAGGTTTCGATGCAGAGGGAGCTAAACAACTTCACACAGCAGGCAAAGGAACACGCGGACAGCATGCAGAAGCAACAGCAGGTGAGAAAGGCTCCCTGGCCCGCATTCCCTCACCTTCTTTTGGACAATAGGCGGCGATCCGTGCACTCTACGTCTGTTGCACTTGCATTGTTCATCTGGACCGAGTTTTCTCGTTTACCTGTGTTGCTGCTTCTGTATGTGCTTGGTGTCATGCGAGAAGCTTCAAGGGGAGCTTGAGCAGTGCAGGCAGCAGCTAGAGGATGCGCAGCAACAGGCCTCAGCCGCAGCCGCAGCAGCAGCCACTAAGGCAGACGCTTCCCCCTGTGACAACTGCAATGCATTGAAGGAAGCTCTGGAATCAGCCAACTGCCAGCTGTACGAAACCGAGCAGATGCTTCAGGAAGCCACTGCAGAAGCAGCTAAGGCGAAATCCGGCCCCCCAGGAGCAGCAGGTCAGCTGCTGCAGAAGCAGAGGGAGCTGGAGGATGCTGTATGGGAGGCTTCTCAGCTGAAGCGGCGGGTGGAGGAGCTTGAAGCGAATGTGCTTGCAGTGGAGGAGGTGCTGCTTGAGGTGAGCGGCGAGAAGGACAGCAAGGAGGAGGAGTTAGGCCGGCTGAAAGCGCTGCTGGCGGAAGGAAGTGCAGGGGGGGCGACAGCCAAGGAAGAATCAGCTGGTGGAAGTGTTGGGGAGGGTACGGAAGCTGATGTGAGGGGTTTGGAGGAGGTGGGGAGGATGAGGGAGGTGGTGGAGGAGAGAGAGAAGGAGCTGACGTCCCTCCAGGAAGCAGTGAGGAGGCTCCAGGCGGATGCTGCTCAGGCTCTTGGCGTCCCTGCCCCTACACCAGCTCCCAGAGATGCTGCTCAGGCTCTTGGCAGGGTTGTTGTGGGGGAGATGAGGGACCTTTGCGCTGCTGTTGGGCGGGTTATTGCGGCCTTAGATGCTGCTAGCACTGAGAAGGAGCAGCTGGGTCTGCAGCTGAGGCAGGCGAGGGAGAGGGAGGCAGAGAGCGAGAGCAGGCTCACAGAGGCTAAGTCTGCAGCAGCAGACGGAGCCAGGCAGCTAGCCCAGTCACAGAGGAAGGAAGGAGAGGAGGTGGCAGAGGTGGTAGCCAGGCTGCAAACAGAGTTGGAGGAAGCAGGGAGAAAGGTGGAACGGGCAGTGGAGGCACGGGATATGGTGGAGCTGCAACTGCTGACGGCGAGGCGGGAGGCAGAGGGGAGGGTAGCAGAGAGCAGGAGGCAATTGGCTGAGGTGGAGGAGAAGCGGAGGGTGCTGGAGAGCCAGATTGAGTGGGAGCGCGAGGAGAGGAGGAGGTGGGAGGAGAGAGCGGCGGCGAGTGAGGGAGATGTGCGGAGGGCTGAGGGGGAGAAGAGGGAGGCGGAAAAGGGGTTGGAGAGAGTGAGAGGGGAGATGGAGAAGATGAGTGACAGGGTTGGGGAGAAGGAGAGGGAGCTGGCTTCCCTTCAGGAGGAGCTCAAGCTGGTGTTGAAAGAGAAGGTAGGAACCATCTGCTTCTATCAGATCAGGGGTCGATCTGTTCAATTAAGGTGTATCAAGGTTCATTGACTGAGCTGCATTCTTCCCTCGGGTCCTTGCTTCCCCTGTGTTTTCCCCTCTAATGCTTTCCCCATCGCTGCTCTTCTCTCCATGCTTTCAGGATGCAGCAAGCCAGAGGGCGGACCAAGTGGCATCAGAGCTGGAGGCTGCAAGGGCCTCAGCAAACGAGGCTCAGCTCCAGCTGGAGGTGAGCCAACGCTGGTTGTCAGTGCTCTCTGTGGACATCCGCATGCTATCATTCAACTGTCAATCACCTCACCTTCATGACGTGTTCGTTGCTTTTCTTCTACCACCCCTCCGCTTGCTCCCTTTCCCACAGATCCCCCTTCTTCCAGGCATGCAAGCAGCAGTACGCAGAGGAGTTACCAGAAGCACGCAAGGAGCTCATGGGAGCACTAAGAAGGAGACAGGCACCATTAAGGGCAAGTTAGTCCAATTCCCCTTCTCCATGCTAATTCCCTCCTCTATGCCTTTTCTTTCTTCTCCCAGGCATGCAAGCAGCAGCACACAGAGGAGCTGGCTGAAGCACGCAAGGAGCTGCTGGGAGCAAAGAAGGAAGCGGCCTCCCTCAAGGGCAAGCCAGGCGCGGCCGAGCGGGAGCGCGACCAGCTGCGAAAGGAAGCAGAGAAGCGGAAAACCAAGATGCTGGACATGGAGGCGAAGCTCAAGGCGGCCCTGGCGGACAAGCTGGCCCTGCAGGTGGACAAGGCGAACCTGGAGCGCGAGGTGAAGAGCCTCAGGAGCCAGAGTAACCAGCTGGCGAAGGACCTGAGCAAGCGGGAGCAGGTGGAGGACCGGAGGAAGGAGGTGCAGGCGAAGGCTGTCCAGGCGGATAAGATGCTGGCGGCAATGGCAGCAGAGATCGAGGAGAAGAACCAGGCGATTGCGAACCTTAAGGTGAGTGGGAAGGGTGGGGTTTGGGGTTGCTGGGGATTGTTGTGGCGTGCGAGACTGGGGGTGCTCGGGTCTGGGATTATGGCGGGGTTGGTATCTTCTACTCCACTCCACTTTTCTCCATTTCTTCTCCTCCCACTTGCCCTCCCTGCCACCCTACCTCTCCTCTCTTCTCATCTCCCTCTCTTACACTCTCTCTCCCCTCCCCCTCTCAGGCAGCATTGGAATGGGCAGAGAGCGAGAGGGACGAGTTGAGGCTGTGGGTGGTGGCAGCAGCGGAGGGGAGCGAGCAGCTGTAGGCCAACGTGGAGGTGGGGTAAATCAGACACTATCCCCCCTCCTACTTTCTCCTCCCCTCTCCTCCCCCCCCCCCTCTCCCTTCCCACCCACTCTCCCCACATCAACTTCAGGCAACGTTGGGAGAAGCACTGGGCGAGAGGGACGAGTTGAGGCTGCGGCTGGCAGCAGCAGGGGAGGAGAGCGAGCAGCTGCAGGCGGAGCTGGAGGCGGGGCAGGCTGAGCTGCAGGAGGTGCTGGAGGACTTCAAGACGGCCACCACGCAGATCAAGGGGCTGCAGGAGATCCGGCAGGAGCTGGTGAGAGTGCAAACGTGGGATGAAGTCGAGTCTGTGCGACGAGATCATGTGTATGGGACGAGGTCAGGAGTCTGGCATGGAATCACGGGCCAGTAGCTACATGCAGAGCTGCTCACTTCTCTTCATTGTGTCTTTCACTGTTGCTGCTTTTATCGTTCGTCTTGTCTGTGTTTCACAGGAGGAGCAGTGTGAGGCGCTGGAACGGGGCAAGGGGGAGGCAGAGGCAGGGAGGAAGCAGGCAGAGGAGAGGGTGGGGGAGCTGGAGGCGAGGATCCAGCAGGCAGAGGAGGAGAAGCGGCAGCTGGAGGCTGGCATCGCTGCTGCGAGAAAAGAGCACGCTGAGGTGAGTGGAAGAGTTGGCTTTTGAGTCGACTCAAAAGGGTCCAGTAGACAGAGGAGGAGAGGCGGCAGCTAGAGGCCGACATTGCTGCTGCGAGGAAGGACAATGCTGAGGTGGGTGAACAGGGCGGCTAGAGGATTCCTTGTCTCTTCTGCTGCTCCCACCCGTCCCTTGCTGATTCCCACTCTTGCCCTGTTGATTTCTGTTTATTCCCTGTCCTCCCTTGCCTGTTTACTCCTCAGCTGTCTGCGGAGCACAAGAAGACGGTGCAGGGCCTGGAGAAGGAGAAGGAGAGGGCGGCTGGTCTGGAGGGCGCGCTCAAGTCAGAGAGAGAGAAGAGCGAGCGGCTCGGGAAACAAGTGAGAATTCTTCTCTTTTACCTCATCTGCGTTGTCTGCTAATTTTGTGGAGAGCAGGCTAGATGCAGCGAGTGAGAGCAGAGGATGGCTGCAGGGGCAGCTGCAGGTGCAGGAGATGAGCGACGGCCACAGCTCCCTTGATTCTTCACATGTTCTTTTATGCCCGCTCCCCACCAGGCGGACGAGCTGTTGAAGCTGGAGAGGAAACTAAACGCAGCAAGCGAGAGCATTGCAAGGCTCCAGGGGCAGCTGCAGGTGCGGGAGGGGGAGGTAGAGGATCTCAAGCAGGGGATGAAGGAGGCGGAGGAGGAGGCACGGGCCGAGGGGGAAGCCGCTGCACTAGCTGTCAAGGGCGAACTGGCTTCTCTGCACAACAAATACACCGCTCAAAAGGTATGTTTAGCTGGTTCCCCTGAGGCGCCAGGAAGGCTACTAATGCGTGTCGGCGCATCAGTGCTCCTCTTGCTCACTTTTGTCTCTGTGAGCATAATTCGTTCTAACTACCTCAACCGTTTCTTTATCTTTCTCTCCATTCTGTTCTCACTGCTCGATGATCCCATCTTCCGCAGGGAGTGTGGCGCAAGGCCGTTGCGGAGAAGAAGGAGCGGCTTGATACTCTCACTGTAAGATTCTATTCTCGGCTCTACCGTGAAATGCACTGTCTGCAAGACCACGTTGTGCACCTTTTGGTAACAACATGGTCTGTACTCTCGCAAGAGAGCTCTCACACTGCATTTATTCCCGTTTTCCTGGTGCCTCTGTCTTCCTATTCCTCCCCCCCAGGTTCGCCTGCAACACTCGGAGCAGCAGCGGATGGAGCTGCAGCGGCTGCTGCAGTCACTGCAGGCAGAGGAGGGCAGCAATGGGGAGGAGGAGAAGGGGGGATGGTCGACTGCTGGGGCTCGAAAAAGCACGGGGAGCGCGAGAGGGGGTGGTGGCGAGTGGAGGGGCAAGAAGGAGGTGGTAGCAGTGCTGATAAGCGCCCAGGACACCAACAGAATGCTGGTGAAGGACCTGGAGCGGGTCAAGCACAAGGTAGGAGTCTGGGGGTGCCTTGTCGGAGACCGAAGGGAACGTGGTGATGGGTGGCGGTCCTGATAAGCGCTCAGGACACTAACAAAATGCTGGTGAGTGACCTGGAGCGGGTCAAGCACAAGTTACGGTGCCATGTGTGCTATCCTTGACTCTGTTTTGCATCGGCTAGGCTTGCCGTTTGAACAGGATGCTGGTGACGGATCTGGAGCGCGCCAAGCAGAATGTAGGATCCCGGGTTTCCCTGCATTAGGTTGTCAGCATACTCTCACTCCCTCTTATTGGCTCGTCTCTTCCGCTACTCTCCATTTCTTCCCCCACATGCCCCGTCCCTCCTCCTCTCCTCTCGACCTTACATCGTGCATTCACTCTGGCTCAGCTGGCAGAGGCGGCGAAGCAGTAGGATGAGTTGCAGCAGGTGTTAGGTGGTGACTTTCTAGTCGACTTAAACTCACCTCAACCTCTCTTCTTAACTCCTCTCTTTCCCTCCTCTCCCTGCCTTTCCTCTCATGCTCTTCCCGTGCATTCCCCATGGTTCAGCTGGCAGAGGCAGAGAAGCAGCGGGACGAGCTGCAGCAAGTGCTGGATGCAAAGGAGGAGGTGTGGGAGGAGAGGGAGGAGCGCGAGAAGCAGCTGCAGCAGCTGCAGCTCGATGTGAAGCTGTACCGCGCCAACCAGCAGGACTACCTCAGGCAGATTGAGTCGCTTGAGAATCAGGTAAGAAACTGGTTGAGATACAAGTATCGAAGTTTCACTCATCGGCGTCCACTTGGGATCGTTATATATCACACTAAGCATTCTCTGTGTTGTATTTCACCAGGAGGTTTGTTGTTACTGATCGCCTGTCACTCTGTTTCTTTGTTCGTGCAGCTGTTTGCGAAGGAGAACAATTCAGATGTGCCAATGTTAAATAATTGTGGTAAGACATTGCAACTGGCTCTTACCGGGGGCAAGAATGGCGTCTCACCATCGGCAAAACGAGCCCGCCAGCCGCTGATGGAACTTCAGTAGAAGTTGTGCCTTGTTGCATGTGTAAATCGGTTAGGAACTAGGAAGCCAATGCTACCAAGTTAGGACCTCATGAACCACTAAACCCCTCATACATGATAGGGTCGTTTGTCAATAACATTAGAGGTCTATCTATACATACGATTTTGTAACACAGAAAACAAGTAGCTTGGTTTGTTGCAATTGGCATGGAAGCTTGTGAAACTTACATTGAAATTTTAAGAGGGTGTTATTCATATGCTTGAGCACAGGTGTATGTTCCTAGCGAGGAACCGCCACCTCTGGTGCCATGTCAGCACCGCATTTCTGTACAGTAACGGGGCTTGGTCAATCCCGGCTGTTTTTTTCCGCCAAAGCCGTGTACTTGATCCTCCAAAGCGAGGTCTCTTAATTCTTCACTAACTACAGAAGCTGGTTACCGGCGGGATGTGCTGTACAGACGAGCTGGCGCTGAGCTGTGTCCTGTATGCTGTATCCAGTGCCGCCCAAAGATTGACGTTACACACGAGCGAAGTGAAGTCCGTTGTTGGAACACTACAGTTGCAAGAAACTTGTTTACTGAGAGGGGCTGCGCATGGAGGGCGAAAACGACTCGGATCCCTGCCGTGGCAAGGCTTCCGAACATGCATTGTGGTCCTCAGAGCTTCGCGAGCATTTTGCGAACTTCGCACACGGGCTCAAGTTTCGGCAAAGTCCGCCCTCTTCGTTTTCTTCCCTCGTCGTCTTTCTCTTTCGCTGATCTACCAGCTTCAGGGCGTGTTTTTCAACTGATGTTTTCGTTCCACCTTGCTCATTGTACCAGGCCATTCAAAGACGTCAGGGGCGCTCCCTTCAGCCAAGGTGGCCTACGACCTCCAAGATCTCGAAGCACCGAGCTGATAACCGAGCAGAAATAATCAGACTGAACCGACGAATGTTGCCGGCATCCTACTGTAGATACGCCCTCTTAGAGTTGCGAATTCATTCCCAGCCCACCCTGATCTAATGCTCTTAGGTACCTGTGGGAATCGAATGTTTGGTGTTGTTTGAGGTAGACCGTCTACGGCAAAACAGCCTCCTCACCTTGCCTCTCCGACCAAGTTCCGTCAACCTGTCAGACCAGGCTCTTCTAGGTTTGCTGAGCGGCGTCTACAGTATCGTATTTATTGCACAGAAGAAGGTTCCTTGATTTCAATTCTTGAAAGACGTCAGTTGCCGCCGCCGGCTGGTGAGTGTGGTTCTTGTCTCCGTCCGCGCACTAGCCTGAAGTGTGGCCTGGGTAGCGAACTGTGGTACTGTATGTACCGTGTACACGTGTAGTGCTCCCCACCACCCCCCTTCCCCCGCTCCCCCTTCCGCATAACACCTGCTCCGCCGATCCCGCTCGAGTTCCCGCTTTGGAGGCTTATCCGATGGATCTACTACGACCGAGAACTTCGCGGAGGCCTTCATTCATTCGTCCGCGGATAAGGCTTATCCGACCACACGATGCCGCGCAACCAGTTACGGCGCTGCTCCGCACATAGGATGCCAGCCGCACACGTGGCGCACAGCGGCCACGAGATGCTCTGTCTAGAGGATGCCGATTCCTATTCGTCCAGAAAAGAAGCACCCTTCGCTCTCGGAGTGCCCCTTCTCGGCTCAGCTTTGCACCTCGGGGGGACTCCGCGGCCCCGCACCTTATTGGACTCCGCGGAGCTCGAGATAAGCTCGAAAAGCTGCTTTTATTGAATCATGGCAAGATTCAGCACGCGTGCACCCAGCGGGAAGGACGTGCGTGCGTGCATGGCCGGCCGGCTGGACGATTCAATGGAAACGCGGCGTGCACTTTCTTGGGAAGACGAGCCGCGAACGAGAGGACGAGAGAACAGAGACCGTTGTTTCGTTCTCTCGTTGGCTCGTTGGCTCGTCCTCGCGTTCGTCTCGTTCTCGCGCTCCATCCCCATTTAGACGAGACGGAGCCATCTTCCGCGCATCAGTCACTGCTTTCGCGGCAAGCAAGCCTTCGCGGCGGCAAAGCAGCCGTCCGTGTCCCTCTCTTGCGCTGCGGACACGAGCTCGGGTCCGCGCCCAGTTGGCTCTTGCCATCGCCGGTAGTTGAGCGAGCTCGGCTCCATGATCGCGCCGAGCTGCGTTTCTTAGTAACAGCATTCCTCCTCGAATTCAAGTTCAATGTGTCACATTTTCGGTGTTGGAACACACATCGTTCGTCTCAGGCTGTCTTCACTCGGCGAGTGATCCATTCAAGTCTTTCTCAGTTTGATAAGTCGCGCAGAAGGACTCCTTTCCCCGGGCCCCCTTCTTGGTCGTGAGTCCCTCGAGTCTAGTTGGCTATTACTATAGTGGAGTAGGCTTCTACCATAGTCCTCCTATACCAGTGCCATGGACAGTGCAACAGCCTCGTTAGTGCCGTTTTCCATAAGCCCGACTAGCCGACAGCAGCAGCAGCTACAAGTAACCGGCGAGGCTTGGGGGTACCCAACCTGCTCCGCAGGTTCGGATGACGGGGGCCCGGAGGCTTGGATCATCCAACAAATCGGCCAGACTGACGCAGGTTCCATGCCAGTCGGACTCTGGACGGATTCTGTCATGACGTCACCTCCCAGTGATGCCTCGGAACCAGGGGTAGCCGGGTCATCTGGGGCTGACGTCAGCATGATGATGGATGGGATTGATGGCCCTCTGGATTTTCCCTTGAAGCAATGGCCGCCAAAGCAATGGCTTCAGGGGATTGATGAATCCTCATTGACCGACCTTGACGTGAGACCCATGGTGGCAGACGCTTCTGTGTTGGTACCTGAGGTTGCTGGTAGTGCTTTTACTGCTGCCACTGCTGCCGCTGCTGCTGCTGCTACTGCTGCTACTGGCGCTACAGTTGATTCTTCCATAGCCCAGTCGCTGAGTTATTTTGAGGATGCACCACTGATGCAATCACAACCGTCGATCAGCACTGCTGTGTACGATCTTAGGGCTTCACACCAGCCACGCGGCACCACCCTCGACGGAACGCTGAACGATGTTGTGGTTGCGGCAGGCGGGTACAAGTTCAAGCACTGCAGAGCGGCAGGCTCTGATGCCTGTGGATGCTCTGACGATCCCAAGGCAAACACCCCAGCCGCGGCCAGACTGCTTGATTCTGAGTTGCCTCAGAGGAATTCCCCCCCAACCCCATCAACCCTGAGGCGACAGCTGGATCGTCGTTCAAGTTCGGTGGGAACTGACATTGAGAGTACGAGCCCCATCAGTGCTGCTAGTTTCAAGGGCTTGCCAGTGGGGAATGCGAGCATCGGTGCCAGGAGTGGTGGTGGTGATAGCCTCCACATGCTGATTCAAGGTTGTGTTGCTGCCGCAAGTGCTTCACCTGCTACTGCTGTGGCTGGTGCCGAGGCAACAAGCGAGGCGAAACAGGGGGTGAAACAGGAGTCGACTCAGGAGACGACACAAAGGGCAACTCAAGAGGCTGCATATCCAGCAGACCGAGCACACGCGACCCCTCTAGCCCAACCCATGGGCTCAGCCATGCTTGCCCCCACGGACCCACTTAGTGGTAAGGTGCGGCTGGGTCCAGCTGTTGCCTCGGCCCTCATGGCGCCACCCAGTGGCAGTATCCCTGCGCCAGGACGGCCGCCTATTCACCGGCGGAGCGCCAAGGAGAAGATGAGACGACACAGAGTCAGGTACCTGCTGCTGTTGCTGCTGCTGCTTCTGAAATACTTCCTCACTTAGATATTGATCACCATTCTTTTTCATATTGTCTTTCTGCTGCTTGTTTCATGCAGCGATGTGTTGAAGCGGCTGCAGAAGGCCATTCCTCTGTCGTGGCTGCGCCAAAAGTACCCGACAAATTTGACTTCACGGACGGATATAGCCTCGCTATTGCACGCTGCAGCGGAATTTATAGGAGAGCTGGAGGTAAGGCTGCAATTTCCTTCGATTAAAAATGCTCCTTCCACTCATCTTTTACCCGATGTGTTTTACTCCGAGTGTCACCTTGTGTGTTACCTTATGTGTTGCACGGCTTCCTGCAGGATCAAAAGGTCCAACTGTCACATGCATGCATGTACCAGTCGCTGTCGGGATTCAGCTGCCACTGACACATGGCTCGAGTGACTCGCTCGCATCAGGCAACCACTCCAGCTGTCACAAATCACGACCCTTTTTTGCTCGCACAGCGCAGATTTAGGGGCTTCAGTTTACCCTTTTTTTTCCGTTGTCATTTTGCTGTAGGCAGGGGCAAGCAACACTGACCTGCTTACAGTTTTAGTTGCTGCACCATATATCTGAGAAAATGGGGCTGGATGCTATCTAATGAGCTACTGTACCTTGGCTTGTACCGTAGTTATTGATATTCCTCCCCATGCAACACCAATAACAAGTACATCAAGTTAAATTTTCAAATGAGTCTCACATACACCTGCCTTTGGAGGGTGAAATACTTCGTCGCCAGATATATCACGGAAGCATAGTGGTGGTCACATCTATATACACGGGCATGCATGCACAGCTGAATGAAGTTATGTTGCTACTGCATGAACCTCGTTCGTGTATTCTTGTGTTTAATTTATTTCCGGACAAACCGGAGGTGCCATGTCAGCATAGTAAAACTTGAGTCCATATTGACAGCGATATTTAGATGTTGTGGACGACCCCGACGTCTAATCCCATTGCAAATCTCAGAAAACCACAGAAAGGTTACTCGTTACCGATTTTCACCAAATGCCGACGTCCTGCAGTGCGTCCGTCCGCGAACTTTGACTTTGACTGCAGCTCGCTTGATAGTTAAAGTCAGGGCCTCAGATTCGTTTAGAGGCACCCTGATAGCTCAGGGTCCCCCCACCTTGGTCTCCTGATTTTTCAGGCCTCTCCAAAAAAATTTCCTTGATCCATCAGGGTCCCTAGAAATTTTCACGCCGAGTAAACATGATTATACACAGAAAACACGCTGTGTAATATATGCCTAGTATTATGCGGTAGCAAGGTTCTCAATGGCAGCAGGCGCAGAGGGACCAAGGCTAGGATTGGGCTCTGAAAGTACTACCGCGTCGGAAACAAAAATGGACGGTCACATTCAAGTCGGCGGGATTGACAAGGGGCGGTTGGGGAAACTCACGGAAATCACGGGTGGAGGGGTGGGGGCTGCGAATCTGCTATTACACGAATCTGGACAAACAGGGTGTTGGGCTGATAGAAAGCCCTTAGGATCTTCCAGAGACTAAGTCCAAGTTGTACGAGATACTTGAGTAGTGCAGCGGAAGTTGAGTAGTTGAACCCTTGCACTAGTATGTGAGAGCAAGTAGTGAGAGCAAGTGATTGACAAAAAAAAACAAGCATACAGCAATATATAGAAAATAGGAAAGTAAAGCAGTTGTAGAATACAGTTGAAGGAACGGTTATCGAGTCGCACAGCGACTCGATGGTCGATTCGGTTACCACCCTTGCAGTTGTAACGGTCGGTCGCAACCTCCGATTGCGACCCTTCGAGTCTTTCGTCCTTTCGTGTTCTTTCGTCCAACCTCCTTGTGTAACCTCCGTTGACTCGCATACTCGATACGGCTTCAATCGAGTGTGGTGTCTACACTTCAGAAACGCTCAAGTCCTTGAGGTATTTCCAACACTCCCCTTCATTTCTGGAGTGCTGACGTGTCCAGATTCGATGACGTTTATCTGCCCGGTCAGCAGCATGCAGTAATCGAACTTTGCCTTCGCCAGTTTCTTCAGGTAGTCTGCGGCCATTTCTGCCGTGGGGCAGTAACTGAGTTGAAGTCTCCCTTTCGCGTTTTCATCTTTGACAAAGAAGTATCGCAAGGCTATATGCTTGGTTCGATTAGCGAACCCGTCTTTGTTCGCGATTTTAATCGCGGATTGGTTGTCGCAGAATATCGAGAAGACGGGCAGTTTTGCGATTTTCGTTTCCTCGAGCAACTCTCGCAGGTAAAGTCCTTCTTTGGTCGCAGTGCAGAGGGCGATGTATTCTGCTTCAGCCGAAGATAGCGCGATTAGTTCTTGTTTGCTCGACTGCTAGGAGATAGTCCCGATAGGCTCTAGTCGGTAGATGTAGCCCGTCCTTGAGCGTCGATTTTCCCTGTCTCCTGCGTGGTCGGCGTCGACGTATCCGAGTAGTTGTACGGACGATGTCGTTGTTTTACTGTAGGTAAGTCCGGTCGTCGGCATAGAGACAAAGTAGAGCAGTGCTCGATTTAGCTCCTCGAGATCCTCTTGTTCCGGCTGCTTCAGATGTGTCGCTAGTTGGCTCGCGCTAAAAGATAGATCCGGTCGGCAAGTTACTGCTGCAAATAATAGGCAGCCGAGCTTCTACTGATACTCCTGGATTTGCTTGGCGGGGAGTTTTGCGGAGGTGTTGTTGTTGTTCCCGTAGCGGTAGGGAGTCGCGACTGCAGTCGGCGTTAGTCCGAATTTCTTTGCGACAATGCCTGCGTATTTTCCAGCGTATAGGTAGAACACCGAGTCGTCTTCGACGACGTTCAGACCCAGATACTGGCTCACGGAATTTGACACCGTAAGCGTTAAGTCGCTCTTCAGCTCCCCTTCGAACCAGGAGACGACGTCGGTAGTGGAGCCGACGTAGAGTAGATCATCGACGTAGACGATGAGTAGGACGAAGTCCCCCCTCTTTTGTAGTCGGTACATTCCTTGGTCGTGCAGCAGCTGCAGGAAGCCAATTTTGATGAGGCGGCCGTGAAGGTGCTGCTGCCAGAGCCGTGGGGCTTGTTTGATTCCGTAGAGGGATTTTACCAGCTGGCATATTTTTGTGGGATCGTCGATGAATCCATGGGGCTGCTCGACGAAGATTTTGGCGTCCACAGGTGCGTACAGGAAGGCGTTGGCGACATCGATCTGGCGTAGTGGTAATTTTTTCGTGGCCGCGACGTGAGCAAGATGCGTAGAGAGGTGTGTCGGGAGACTAGGGCGAATGTCTCCGTGTAGTCGGTTCCATATCGCTGGTCGAATCCTCGTACGACCAAGCGAGCTTTGAAGTGGTCGAGAAGCCATCCGCATTGGTCTTGATGCGGTACACCCATTTCCCCGAGAGTACGATCTTCCCGTTGATGTTTGTTGCAGGTACCAGCTTCCACGTGTTTCGGTCTTGCAGAGCTTTCAGTTCTTTTTCCATTGTCACCTTCCATTTCGCCTTATGTTCCCCCCCCAGAACCTGCGACAGAGTCGTTGGCTCGTGCGGAGACGGCGGCGGCGGGTGCTGGACGGAGACCCATAATCCAAGTATCTGCAGGCCCGTGGGTGAGTGTCGAGGGGAATTTTCATTCCCGGGATAAGCTGCTTCGTCGCCATCTTCGGGATTAGGTAAGAAATTTGGTCCGATGCGTTCTGAGATATTCGTGTCGGCTGGTTGAGGTGTAACGTAACCTTGGTCAGCGAAGTGGTAGTAGGTGTCGAGGTTGTTACTATCGAGAGGACTGTCGTCGTTGAGGGGATCAGGCACGGAACAGTAAGGGAGTGGTCCGGCAGCACGATCGGCAAAGGAGCGAAGGCCCGCGAAGCCGTCGGTGGGGTCGTGTGTGTTGGCGACGTTGTCCAGGTAATGCTGCAGCGTCAGACGCTCATAGAAGATCACATCACGTGATGCCACTGTATTTTTGTCTTGTATGTCGAGGATTTTCCATGCTTGGAAATGTTTTGCGATGCCGAGGTGTAGTCCCCACCGTGCTCGTTGAGTGAAGCGTCCTGCTCGAGCTGTGTGGGGTCTGTACTGTACCATGCAGCCGAAACTCGAAGTAATTTTGTGCTACCCCTTTTCCGTGTCCACAGCAGGTGCGGTGATGCGTTGTTGGGAAGTGATGACGAGGACAGCAAATTGTGCAGGTGGACTGCATGCGTCATTGCGTCTGGCCACAGTGTGTTGGGCAGTCTCATCCCCAGAAGCAGCTTTCGCATCGTCGTCTGCAAGGTCCGGTTCATCCTCTCTATGACCTCCTGCTGTTGGTGAGCGTAGGGCAGGGACACCAAGCGTCTGATGCCTCTTTCTCCCAAGTAGTTCTTGAATCGTTGTGACTGGTATTCCAGTGCCCCGTCTGACTGGAAGCTCTTGAGTTTCGAGCCCGATTCTCGTTCAGCGATGGGCAGCCATGCCGTGAAGGCTTCAAACGCTTGATCTCGTATCTTGAGGTTGTAGTGCCAGACGTATCGTGTTGCTGCGTCGATGAACGTTATAACGTAATTGTATTCTGCTTGACTGTCGTCCCGAGGCATATTTAAGATGTCGCTGTAGACCTTTTCCATCGGTTCGTATGCAAGTGCGCTTGGATTGTGGTGGGACGTAAAAGGTTGGTGAGAAAGATCGGCTTCGGGGCACGTGAAGCATCGTGCGCGTGGTTGTCGAAGTTCTTGGCCACTCGTTGTAAGAAGAGCGTTTCTTTCTAACACTTCGGCTTGGATGGTTTGTAGTACTGTGCTGGTTGCAGGATGCCCGAGGCGTTGATGCCAGATGTCGTCGAGAGCGAGATGGCCGGGCGAGCGTTGGTACATGTCGGCATTGGAGAAGAACGCGACGACCGTGGCGGAACTTCCGCAGACTTCTCGTGTGATGGGCATAAGTTGATCTGCTTCGGTTGGCGGTCCTCGGATTGCTGGTGATGGTACTCGGCTGGGTCCTGCTGCTGCTACTGCAGGTGATGTCGGGGAAGGGACGCTTGCTGGTACTTGTCTTTCTTGTCGAATTACTGCTAACGCTCGTGTTCTCTCTGCTGCAGGCATGGTGTTGGAGTACTTGAACCCATTTGGGGTGAAGTCGGGGTCAAGATCCGGCGGGTGTGTCGAGGCTGCGAATGACACGATGCCATCGCTGTCGGCAGTACCGTGGTCGGGGACGAAATCCAACACGAAGACACCTGACTTCAGGAGAGCGCGACTGATGAAGAGGCCGTCCTTCCCGTGGTAAAGACAAAATTCGTTGGCGTCGGAGTCACATTCCAGGTGAATCCCTTTTTCCATTAGTTGGCTGACGCTTAGAACCTTGTTGAGTTGCAGAATGACATTTGTCTCCATGGACTGCAACTGAACCACTCCTTGTCTGTTTGTTTTCAGGTTCTCGTTGTGGGCGACGGTGATGATGACATCGCGGTTGAGGCGTCGCTCTCGTTGCACGAAGCGTCCGGAAGAACACATGTGCTGGCCGCAACAGCTGTCCAAGAACCAGGTGTTTCGCCTGGTGGGTTCGGCGTTGGCGACTGCAGCGTACGTTGGGTTGACCTGGAGGCCTTGTGTTCACGGCGGCGGCAGTTCTTCTTCGTCTGGAGCGTAAGTTGGTGGTGATCCGGGTGCGCAGTTGTGGATGCGTGCCATACAATTGATGATATTCGGTGTGC